ACCCTGTGCACAGCACTGCAGGCGTATCAGCAAAGCATAAACTACAGGAAGCCCAGGGCTGATGGTGAGTGAGCATTGCAAGGAGTGTTCCAAGTGCAACATCGAATGTTTGAGAGTTAAACTAATGCTTTATGCTGAGCCAGAGTGTATGACAAATGCAGCTATTAACTCACAGTGTAACTTAGAATCAAACAAGCAGTGTAGGCATGTGCAAGAGGATCCAGCCTTGGAAGTCCGTTATGATTTTTAGCAGAGAAGAACTGATCCTGATATTCAGCCTAATTGTAAAAGGACCCAGTGGTCCCGAGGGACTTGTGCAGACAGGCAGAGCTAACATCTGAATCTCACTACCCACCAAGCTGCACGAGTGCTGAGCAAAGCTCAGCTGCTGCAGAGGCAGAAGCAAATAAGGCTGAGATCTGGACCGAGGCTCGGGATATTTGGCAGCTCAGTTTTGGAAAGCAGAGTGTCCCTCAGGAGAGGGTTTGCTCACTGCTGCAGCCTCATGGCTCACACATGGCTGTGCCAAGGAAAAATCTGCCTCCAGGAAAGCAAGGGAATAAACTCTGATTTATGTGGATGCTCCCTAATGTCAATGATGTTGTAGTGCAGCTTTATTAGACTTAAACCTCTTTAAGTATTCATTGAGATCAGAGCACATTCTGTCAGCCACCACAAGGCTGTCTCTGGAGCAGACTTTAAATTGATGAGACCAGAGAAGGGACAGCTAGGGAAACTGAGGCACGGGCAGGGAATTTCCCAAAATGCTTTTCCAATATATTTCCCTGAAGCCTCATTGCCAGCACCCCATGGGGGCTCTCCATGGCTGGATGAGGGGAGCTGGTTTTATCCTGTGCTTTTCCCATGTAATGGGGACACACAGACCCAGGAGATGGGTTATAGGGAGGGCATCAGGCCTTCTGCTGCTGACCAGGGCAGGGAATGATCTGGTTTTCCTTGAAGGCAAATTTCCAAGCATGTCAGACCCACCAGGCTGATGCACTCCTCTGGACTCCTGCTGGTCACAGAGGTTCAGCTCAACACCTGCATGGGGTAAAAATGTTTCTATCTTCCTATGTAAAATTGCTGAAAGTGGGAATAGAGAGAAGAATGAGTACCACAGGATGAGCCTGCCAGTGAACACATGTGCTGTGTGTTGGGAAGGAAATGGCTCCCTACAAGTGTTTCCAAGGAGATCCTGCCAGAGATGAGTGCCCTTGTCCAAAAAAAGGGATGGAAAAAATCATAAAATGCAGTATCAAAGAGACATTACTGTTTTTTCATGTAGACTCTTTGGGTCCTTTTGAAGTGAAAATGTTTATTTCTTATTCCTGTATTGAGATAATTCTCTATTCTATCACATTTTCCTGTGGGTTTGCATTAGCCAGTCTGAATGCTGGTACTAGTGCAGATCAGGAGCAATACACCCAAGTCATGTGAGTTGTGCTGCTGGCATCAAGACTGGGATTAAAGACCAGAGATTAGGCCATTGGATGTGCTCATCTGCTGGGGTGGGAGCTCTTCCACCTATGGATTTGAGGTGAGATTATCACACCTTCTGGCATGGACACGGGGTCAAACTGCTGGGGGAAACAGTTGGACCAAAACTGAGAATATTCGGTGGAAGGGAATTTGTCCCATCTCACCCACATCAAAGGATTTTTGGAAAATCCTCCCAGGGAACATTCAGCCAGTTGAAGGAAGCAAGAAATCCTAAGATTTTTTGGAAATTAACCCAGCCCTTAACAGAGTGTGAATTGTTCTGAACAACAAATATCCTTGCATGGAAAATAGCCAAATTAAACCTAAACTAAAGGCAAAATAAATCCTTGCAGAGAGAAGATGAGTCACTGAATTAGAAGTCTTGCAGGGAATCTTTTGTATCTTGGCCACACAACCAGTGCCAATGACAGTGTCTTTCTGCTAATGAAAGGGGATCAGAGATACAAAGACATAAAATATTTAGATATAATTTAATCAATAATTATTATCAATAACAATTGATAAAATAATTTGATCTTAAACTAACACCTTTAGTTTGTAAAATATAGTCAAAGAAACCGAAAGATTATGAGTATGCCTTGTATGTACTTTTATATCAATTCCTGTGATCCTTAAGTTTAAAAAAATTAAAGTCCCTTCCTTTCACAGCCAAAGCCCTGTCTAAACTCCCCAGGGAAATTTAAGAGATTAAGAAAACAACGATCTACTCCACATAGAAACCTGTCTGAAATGGTGACACACTGAGATGTTAATCCCAGTTAACTGAATCCATGAATGCAAAACCTTCCAGTTAAATTACCTGTGGGATAAAGAACGAATTGCTTACCTGGTATGGTAAAAGAAACAGTAACATCTTGCTGTGACTTTTGTGCTGGTATGGTATGGCAGCTTTTCTGCAAAACTGTTGTTTTTTGCTTTTCAAAATCTTTTGTCATGTGGGATCCTCCTCTGTGGCCAGAGATTCTGTTATGGTATGTGCTGTATCTTCCCATAGGAAAAACATCCACCCGGTTTGAAGGCAGCCCCTGAGAGAGGAAAGCATTATTGCCACCTTCTCTGTTTCTTGTCTCTTTTTAAAGAAATAAAATTCTTTTATATCCTCAATAAAATGGCCCAGACTACATTTGCAGGCTGGTTAACCTGTGCTACAGAAACAGGAGTGAAGCCCTTGACAGCTGCACAGCAGTAACTGGCTACTTTTCTGTTCACTCAGGCAAAATGAATATTCAGGAGTATTTTGGAAGAATATCTTACAACAAGCCCCATAAGGATGCAGACTTGCAAACCCTGACAGCCATCTTCCAGCATCACATCCAGGCCATTCCTTTTGAGAACCTCAGCATGCATAGTGGGGAGGCCATCGAGCTGGATTTGCAGTCTACTTACAATAAGATTGTGAGAAAGAAACGTGGTGGATGGTGCCTGGAAATCAACCACCTCCTCTTCTGGGCCCTGCAAGAATTAGGGTATGAGGTCTGTATTCTTGGTGCAAACAGCTATGAACCAGCAGAGAAGGGGTACACTGCTGAGATTAACCATATCCTGCTGAAGGTGGTGATCCAGGGAGATTCCTACATAGTAGATGCTGGGTTTGGTGGAGCCTACCAGATGTGGCATCCACTGATGCTCATTTCTGGGAAGGACCAACCCCAGGTCCCTGGCATTTTCCACCTCATGGAAGACGACGGCACCTGGTACTTAGAGAAAGTCAAAAGGAAGCATTATATTCCTGAGCACAGTAATAAAGACATCCCTGATACTCCAGAACTGGGGAACATCCGAAAAATATATAGATTTACTCTCAAGCCACGGCATATAGATGACTTCAAGGAGCTGAATGCCTACCTTCAAGTGTCCCCAGATAACATCCTTCAGAAGAAGTCAATCTGCACTCTCCAGACCACCAGTGGGTTCCTTGCCTTAGTTGGATGGACCTTCACTGACATGAAGTACAAGTACACAGAGGACATGGACCTGGTGAACATCACAACCCTTACAGATGAGGAGGTTGAGAAGACTCTGAAAGATAAATTCAATATAGTACTGGAGAACAAACTTGTACCAGTAAATGTTCGTGGCTTGCCACCTAATTTAGTGGATAAGATCTAACTGTAACACTGGGCTAGATGGATCTTTAAATAGCCAAGAGGAAAATTCTAAAATTAAGATTAATTACAATAATCTCATTTTTAACTCAAGCTAGTCACAAAGCTTGGTAAATTCCAGTACATTGCTAATTAACTGCATATATTGATTGCATATTTTTTTATGAAACCTCTCCTTCTTTAGAAACCAAGACATATTACTATACTATATACTATTACTATATTACATATGGAAATTGTTTTTTGACTCCTTAACTTTTTATTCACCTTCTCAAGAAGTCATTTTATTGCAGATATATTTTGTGGCAAATGAGACTAAAATGATGCAGAAGGAGAGGCTTTGTTACCATTTTACATGAAAGACCCCTCACCTTTTTTGGCATTATTTCTAATCTTCTCAGCGACTTTTACAAATATTCACTTCCTTCAATAGTCTTAAAGTAGAGCTGAATTTGGCTTTTAAAGACTTTGTAGAAAAAAAGAAATGTTAAGACTTTCTCAAAACAAGCCACCATTAGGTGCTGATTAGCTTATGAAAAGTTGAAAGATTTGAGTGCTGTTCCTTTTCCAGAAATTGACTTAAAGTAGGATATTTATCCAAGGGTAGCTAAAGCCCCCCCCAAATCTCTCTAATTTTGAGTACACACTTTTTCTGACTCTGATTTATCTGTGTCTCTGAATTCAAAATAAAATCTGTAGAAGATGAAATGATTCAACAGTTCCTAAAATCAGGCTTTTGGTATCAAAACTGGAAAAATAGTTAGATCAATCTTTGCAAACTATAATCTAAACTTTTGGGACCAAGCCTTCATGAGATTTCAAGAGGACATGACATTATTATAGATAACAGTCTTTGTATTTATTACAAACAGTATTCTGCACAAAAAAAAAAAAAAAAAAAAAACTTAAAAAGTGTGGATGCAAAAGAAAGCCCTGGGAAGTGAGGACATGCCACCAGTGTGGTTTCACAGCATAGCACAGAAGCCTTTTACCTGATGATGCCTGTGGCACTGTACAGGATGTGCCATGAAAGAGGGTGACAGAAGAACATCAGCCAAGGAAAAGACTTTGATGTTTGTTTTAGTTAATCACACAGACCTGAGGGGCACCTGATGTGCCTAAAACTCAACAGACTGTGCAGGTGCAGTCTAATGTGCTCTTTGCCTTTCCCAAAGAAGCCTCCTCTGATATTCCTCCTCCATCCAGTGAAGAGGAGGGAGACAGGCTTGACTGGGGGAGAATTAAGTGAACAGCACTGCAGCGCTTTGAGGATGCAAGAGACCAGGTTTTAGAGCAGAAATGCAAATAAATATTTGCCATGGCATTCATTAGGTGTGGCAGCTCCACAGTAAGTCCCTGCTGAAGCTGAGGAGTTGAACAAAGAAGGGGCAAAGAAGGGCCATTTGTGGAGCTCAGGGACACACAGCCTGCAACACCTTGGCACCTCAGTGTACCCATCAGGGCACAGATGAACACCCTCCACTGCAAAGTGCTGGTTTGCAAAATAACAATATTTAATTTTTAAAAGTTACAGCACCATTTGCAACAGCCTACTGTAATTATTTTAGATGAGAAAAAAACGAGTTCATTCTGGTCTTAACTAGGGGAAGGCATAAACATCTACTAATAGGGAAGAAACAAAGTTTAATTTGCTCACGGATCAGCGAAGTCCAAAAATGTGAATTCATTGGGTGGACTCTGCCCTTTCTTGGAATTTAAGATTGAGGAGCGAGGACCAGCAGAGCTTAGAAAGACAACCCTCACAATCTGTAGCCACTCCTGGCTTCACTGACTGCTGCCCCTGTAATAAACCACCCAGAAACTGAATACTGCAATAAATAAAAAGGGATCTCATAAGAGGTAAGTTTATTTTCTTTAAAAAAAAATCCCTCCAAAGAAAGATACAGAAAACCTGGTTTCTTTATGATGGTAAAGGTCATGGACAATAACGTAAGCAACATTCTCTAGGAAAAATGTTCTAAAAATGTGTGGATATAGAGCTAAAATATCACCTGCTAAACAGGGGCTCTTAAAGAGGGCAAAGCAGTGATGTGCAATTTCAATTCTTCTACCTTTCACTCTTCAGGAGAAGCTTCACTTCACTATAAAATAGATTCTTTTGTTTAGGTACAATAGTAGATACGAATTTAGAACTGCAACTTCTTGTTAGAAGTCGTGCTTTTAGATACTTAAATTTATTTTAAAGTATTGCAAGTGCAAAGGAAGCAAAAGTTCGGTCTAATAATCAATAGATTCTTCTTTAGGGGAATAAAATTACAGCTCTTTAAAAACAACTTGAAAAAATTACAGACTCTGGGTTGTGCAAAACCCATGTGCTGATGTATTAGGATAAAGGAAATAACATATTTTCAACAGTGGAATTGCTGACACTGTATAGTCCTGGTAAGGAATATTTTTGTACAAACACCTTCATTTGCACCTTTAAAATTCTTCTGTTGATGTTTTTCTCTGCATAAATCATAGCCACATTTGTGTGATGACCTTTTCTGTACCTGTCTTTTCATATGGTCTGCTCACATTTCAAAAGAACAGTAGCTTTCATCTCCTACAGTCCAGATCTAATGCTGATCAAGCATATTATAGAGCTGCAGAAAGAAAATTACAAATAATACAAACTGGAGAACCAGTTTTATACTGGTGTGATCTATTTAGCATTCACAGTCAGAGTGATAGGATCAAATAGATTCTGCAAATCAAAAGTGCCATGACTTTTACATTACACTTAACAAATATTACATTGAACATATCCTCCAACAGTACACTCAGATATCACTGGAAGCTAAATTCCTCTCTGTAGCAGGTAATGTGTAGATTTTGCTGGTGCTCTCCATTTACTTGGGACAGCTGCCTCTACACCACGAATATGCACAGCATGAATCTGCCACTGAGAATCACCTTGAGAAATTCTAGTCTGCAGTAAACATTGCAAAACAGTTCACTGCTGAGTTTAAGGATTGGTGAGTTTTGAGAAAGTTCAGGACCAGAGAGAGTAAAGCAGACCCTCTTCATTCTCAGGGTGGCCTGTGAGAATGGAGATGTGCTCCTTGTCTTTTAGGCTGCTCACCTCTGTTCAGATCCATTATTCCAACACCAAAGTAAGCTTCTACAGTGGTCAGAGCAGACACAAGACTCAGTGCTCTGTGACTCTTTCAAAAGTCAGAGTTTTTTCAGTTATATTTATCAGAATAAAGCTTGTCACTTTACTTTTCATGTTAACTTTTTGTAAGTGGTGGAAGAGCAACGTGTACTGAACGAGTGATTCATTTACTGTCGTGTCCATCAGTGGCAGACTCATGAAAAGAACATGTGAATTCTGGCTCAGACTGTCCTTCCTCCCACTGGCAGATGACACTGCCTCCTCCAGTGACAGTCCTGTCACTCAACAGTGGCTTTAGATCATTTTTCATGAGGCCTTGTACACATTCTCCAGCATGATCTTATATTTCTTCTTAACCCTGCTGTTACAATGCAAATACAGCAAATCCTCATCTTGCAGCTGCCTCATATGAAACTGAAATGGCATCACCTGTTTGCCAGAGGGATGACTCTAAGACAAAAGCAAACCCTCACATGCACTGCTCTTTGCTCAGGGAACCATTTGATAGGAATTCTTGTTTCCTTTAAAAGCTGTTCTGATGAGGTTCAGTAGATTAAAGAATCTTTGCTGGCAGAGGCAGGGCAGATTTTCACAGCATCATAAATCACCGATGTAAAGAAAAACCAAAACACAATTCCTTCCTTTACAGGTGAGATGAACCTTGAAGAGTATTTTGCAAGAACTGGCTATAAAGGCTCCACTGAAAAACAAGATTTGGAGACCTTAACCGATATATTCCAGCACCACATCCGTGCCGTTCCCTTCGAAAACCTCAGCATCCACTGCGGGGAGAAAATCACTTTGGAGTTGGAGCACGTTTACAACAAGATAGTGCGGAGGAAGAGGGGTGGGTGGTGCATGGAGAACAACCAGCTGCTGGGCTGGGTGCTGAAGGGGCTGGGCTATGACACCAGCTTCCTGGGAGCCTACGTGTTCAACCCCCACCAGAACGCCTACGCCACCCTCATGACCCACCTCGTGGTAAAGGTCGTCATCGATGGCAAAGCCTACGTCGTCGATGGAGGTTTTGGGGTGTCCTACCAGATGTGGCAGCCCATGGAGCTTGTGTCAGGGAAGGACCAGCCCCAGGCTCCCGGCGTCTTCCGCTTCACGGAGAAAAACGGTGTCTGGTACCTGGAGAAAATGAGACGGAAACAATACATCCCCAATCAGAGCTTCTCCAACTCCGACCTGCTGGAGAAAAAAGAGTGTCGGAAAATTTATATGTTCAGCCTTGAGCCACGGACAGTGGAAGATTTCCGTTTCCAGTGCACATACCTCCAGACCTCTCCAGATTCCCTCTTCACAAAGAAGTCCATCTGCACCCTCCAGACCACCAATGGATTCCGAGCGCTAATTGGGTGGACGCTCACTGAGACCACGTACAACTACAAGGAAAACATGGATCTGGTGGAATTTGTAACTCTTGAAGATGAAGAGGTGGAAAAAACCCTCAAAGAGAAATTCAACATCACCCTAGAGAGAAAACTTGTCCCCATTAATGTTAAAGGATCTTACACAATCTAGAAGGCCAGGAAAACCTACAGTAATGCTACGTGTGTACAGCACCTTCCACTGTCTGTGCAATCCCTACTGCATGGTTATGGGATTCTTTTGCAGGTGACTGAAGGATATATACATTAATATGAGAATAATGTGAATTTCACTCTGGGGAAAAATCAGGAATTTAAGACTCTTGAGTCAGTTAGGTAAAATTATTTTGCTGGGAGATGACTGCTGTTCAATTTTTGGCACAAATGTAGGATTTGATTTTAATCTGGTATAAGCTTGGGTAAGAAATATGTCTGGGGAATTTTGGACTGCCTGTAGCACATGAGTATGGATTATTAATTGTGATATGCTGCCAACACATTTTCTAAGGTTATTATAGGGAGACAAGTCATCTGTGAGCATTTAGACAATGAAGTACACATTTAAAACTTCATTTTTCACAAGATCCAACCACTCACAGCTCATCTCATTCCTCTACCTTTAATATGAGTAAAACATTGTCATCTTGGAAAAGAGCATTAGGAGGCATAATTCTTTCATCATCAACTGTAGATAAACCATAGTACAAAATGAAAATCTTCATCATGTGCATCCCTTTGGCCATTACTGCAGTAAACTGCCCCAAGTAATTTTTGGTATGGAGCTGTTCTTCTGGTGATGAAAATTGTATATATTGCAGTGTTATTGTGGTTGATGGGCTCTAAGGAGACAACTACTAAGCTTTGTTTCTGAGATGTAATCATCCTGTACACTATGACTGGTACTTAAATGTCACAGCTGGCTTAGATTTACTTTTGTCCCAAAAGAGGTGGAAATTCTGTACTTTTAGGACTGCATTATATTTGAATATGAAGCTAAGCCTACTATGCCCTTAATTTTGTCCTGCAAACATGAGTGCCCATATGGCTGTCCTGAATGGGTACCACTTAGCACAGGAGCTTTAATGTCATTAGTGTTTGTTCATCTGTATCGAAGTGAAAAAACAACCCAAGGAGCCAGCCAAATCTAAAGGAAACCTGTTCTTTTTTCACAATCACATTTCCCCATTTTTCAGAAAATGTTGTTCCTCCTACCATGCTCCGCTGCAAAAAGCCCAACCAAGGAAACCACTAAGAAAGGGGAAATCCTTAAATGCATCAAAAAATAGCAGAAACTCTGAAACTCTTTTTTCCCACTCTGTAATAACCCTGAGTATTGGTCAAATGTTGATTCCTCCCACTGAATAGTCCTTTTACTCAAAGACATCATCTGATCATTAATCTCACAAATACTGTAAGTGTATACCTGAACATAAATAAAAGGAACAGAAAGACATTGTGAATTGTTTTAGGTGTGCACTGACTCCTGCACATACCACCTGCCAAGTGAGGGCTGTTCACTCATGCTGCTGATCTGCTGGCCAAGCCTTCCTACCTTAAACTTCTTAGGATCACAGGATCACTGAGGCTGGAAAAGCCCTTTAAGATCATTGAGTTCAACAATCAACATCACAACCATGTTCACCATTAAACTCTGTCCTCAGGTGCCAATTCCAGGGATGGTAACTCCACCACTGTCCTTGGCAGTCTTCCAGTCCTTTCCAACCCTTTGAAAAAAATTTTCCTAGTGTCTAGTCAAAACCTTCCCTGGCATAATTGAAGGCCATTTCCTGTAGTCCAGTCACTTGTTACCTGTTCCTCGGAACCTGTCACCTGTCACTTGTGAACTAAACAGGCCAGTATTGAACAAATGCAGCAGTGGTGTTGGAGATGGTGAGTTCCTACAGGTACCTGGATGAAGAGGTTGTAGGCTGAGGAAGATGATCACTGAAGAGGAGGCCCAGGAGCCATCTCTGCTGGGCTTGGCAGCCAGAGCTCTGGGCTGGCCATGGTGTGTGACAGCTCTTTGTGTGACTGGCCTGGGTACACAGAGAGCTGCACAGGGATGAGGAACTGAGACCCAATCAAGAGGTGACAGGGGACACTGAAAGATCTTACTGAAGCCAGAACACAGCTTTTCTGTTAATAATGGAATTATGGAATTTGTTCAGTAATTTGTGTTCAGGTTATTCCCTCATATTAATGTCCCATTAAGCGTTTTTACCCCTTTCTAAATAATTGATCATGACAAGGTGCTCCCTGAGACATCAGGGAACATTACAAACTTCAGAACAGTTACCACCTCCATTCTATCTGATGGGATTCTCATGTACCCAGCTCACCAAACCACATTTCTCTGCACCATCAACCACAGCTGTTTTCTTGTCTTGAGGACAACCATTAACAGGGTGGTTATTTTGCCTCTCAATGTCCCCAGAGGTCTTCCTGCTGTTGCTCCCAGATAATTGCTTGGATTTTGGTATGCAAGGGTTTCTTGGGCAGTCATGGGCTCCTATCAGCATTTAACTGGGCCTGCAGAGATGGGACTCACCCAGCTACCCCTTCTACTGTTTGGTTCTTATCAAAGATCTGCAGAGTTGCTGGTGACTGAGGCTGCAACCGTGCTCCTGACTCCCAACTGTTAATAACCACTCTCTAAGAGGGATTTTTCATCTTGACATGACAATTATAAGCAGGTCTTCAGTGAGAAACATGAAATCACAAGAAGAAATGTCAAGACATACAGCTAAGGAACAGTTTTCACAGTTTAACTAAAGCTCCCCAAAAGCTGATGAAAGCAGGTTATTGAGGTGTGAATGCCAGGCCCATTAATGCTTCAGAGGTTTGAGATGAGAATCGTGTAAAACCAAACAAAACCAAACAAACCCCGAGGCCTCATGCTGGGGTTCCATTAGCAAGGCAGTACTGTAGAAGCTGATGTTCTCCCAGCCTGAAAAGAAAACAAACCACCAATTCCTTAAAACATCAACTCTCACAGAAACTTGAATTCACATGCAGTAGGGAACTGTGGGATGTCTGCCATCCTTCCCTACCACAATGCTTTATTAGCACTCTCAGAGAAAGGTTTAATGAGAGCCTAAGTGATTTGGCAGTTTTAGCTGTGGACTGTTGTTCAAATGAAGCAAAACAAATGCTGAGAAACCGCCCCCCTCCGCCCCCAGACTCATCTAACTCCAAATACAATTTAAAAGTATGGTATTCCAATCAAGAGAAAAGCAAGACAATTTCTTTTAAAGTTTGAATGCTGGATGAATCCCAGCCCAGCTGCCCATTACACACACAGGAAATGCCCAATGGCAAAGACAGCCACCCGTGGTTGTAGCATTGCATAATGGAGTGTCTCATTAGAGAACAAGGCACAGAGCACAAGAAACATGGTTCAAACTCCAAGGCACCACTGAACATCCTGCCCCTCCCCAAGAACCAAAGTTTAATCAGCTCAAGCATTACTAAATTCACACTGGATGGCTCACTTCAGTTGGACTCCTGGACTTTTTAAGATCCAATACTAAGCAGAATAGAAGTAAAAGAGAAACATCAGCAAGAAAGACGAAGTTGTTCAGTACTTCCATATTTTCAAGCCCAGCAGTTATTACAAAATAAGCACCACCAGCCTGCCAAAGGGAAGGACCAAACTTTACATGATAAGGGACAGACATATGTGAGCTGTCAGTGAGCACCACCTACAACCACACTTCAGGCACCTCAGGGCCACAGGCACCAACACTTCTGGTGTCTGGTAACACTTTACCACTTTCATTTTGCAGGTAGCCATTTTCTGTAATAAAAACACTACTTACCCAGCTCGCTTCTGTTGTCAAAGAAGAAACACTTTTCATTTAGAAACATGACCACATGGGAAAGTCCTACAGCTTAGGAGCATAAAATTCTGGAGTCCGTGTCAGAGCCAAGAAAGCCTGAATCAATGCAGGTTTGCTTTACAGATATTTCACTGCTATGCTTACACCTCTGTCAAGAGTAGTTCAAGCACAGATTTTATACAGCAGAATGTTTCTATCTCAGGTAGGAAGCTCAAGTCAGACTAAAATCCATCTATACATGTATTTATACCATTGGAAATGCAGACAGATATTTCAGAAGATCCCACCAGTCTGCTTGTAACTCTGTACTTAAAAGTACATTTAAATAAGTCACACAGGGCTGAGTTTTGGTTTTGTCTTGCTCACAATAACACTCTATGGATGGTGCTTTGAAAAGCACATTTTGCAAATGCCCTATGAATAAAAGATTGTTCTAAAAATAAGTAGCTTGGTAGCACTGAGGCACAGCTGAATGTGAACAGCAAAGCCCCCAGATTTAAAGATAATAAACTAAAATCTACCTTTTTTTCACAGCTGGTGTTGGGCATGTTTAGGAAACAGAACCAATTCCAAAATAGTGGGTATTCTAGGAAGCTCTTTAGCTTCTCATGTGCTTATCCATGTACTGTGCCACTGGCATGTCCAGCTATCCCTCAGGAAATGACATGAAATTAAGGAGGCAGAATGCCCTTTGATGAGAATTACCCCCCACTGGACTGAACAGAACCCTGCAAAGCAGCAGAGTTCTCTGCAGAACCCTGAAAAATGAAGACTCCACATAGAATTCATCTCAGTCACTGCTGTTATCAAAATAACCCAAAAGCTCCTTTACATGGCACCACTGGAAACTGCCCCAACCCACAGCCTCTCAGGACATGCAATTGCAGTGACACCTCCTGGCTGCTGGTGGTTCACTAGAACACACTTTACCCATCAACTCTTCAGCACAGCTATGCAGAAATTCACTCTCCATTCAAGAAATGCGTTCAGAGAGAGAGGAATCATTTTCCTACTTTATAAGCAAGAAAGAATAATGGAATATATTCCAAGTTTTTCTTGTGATGACCAACAATAAATCATTTCATAGCTCAGGTCACATCTTCCATGGGAAGAAAAATGTCTTGCCATCATTAACTCCTTTTCAGCTAGCAGTAATATATGATCAGGTTTTAAGTAATTGAACCAGTAGCATTTAATTAGCTCTGAAAAACTATCTCAGATCATGAATCACAGCCTTTCCACCTGCACGAAGTCCCCTTACTAGGTTAAAAGTATATTTCTCTTTCCATGTGTGATCCATCTTGAATATCTAATTAGGTGCTCCTGATAAATGAATCACAGCTCATAGATCACATGCAAAATACAGCAGACACGGTGTGTCCTTCTTTGAATAACTGAGTTTCACGTCTTGCTTCATTGAGCTGTTCAAAAAAGACCAAAAAAAGCCTTGTGCCCATGGCAGAATGGCCACTCCTCACTTCAATTAGCAAATTCCTCTTTCTCCAGAGAGCCAGCATTAAGGATGAGTAGCTTGGACATGCTGAGGAAATGTAGCAATAGCAATATTTCTTGTTGAAAGGCCGTACACAGAGAAGTGCTATGATTTTAGACAAGACCACACAGATGTTTTTCAACAGGCCCAGAGCATCACCTGACCAAAGAGAATGGTGTTTCTATCCTAATACTACAGATGGCTTCATCACATGCTAAATAAAATCACTGCACTCAGCTAATGTTGGGGGACATCTGTGGCCAGCACAAAACAGGATCACTCCTTGTATCAGACTGTATTAAACATAATTTTTTTATATTAAATAAGCTATTCCACAATCATTAACACAAAACCCCACAGTTTTTATTCAGCTTTCAAGTATGTTTCTGAAACTGTTATTATGCTTTTATGACAAGACTTACATAATTATAAGATTGGATTTTTTTGCTGAAAAAGAGGCAAAATTAGCAAACTTCTTTTGGAAGGCAGAAACTAAAACAATCTGCTCAGATGTCAAACTATAAACGTTGCCCAATATTTGGCATGATGTATAAAAAAAAAGTTTCACTACAAAATCCTCTATTTTTAAATAAACTTTATAAAAAATAAAATTCAATAAAGTGGATTTTATCTCTCTGTTCTTCTCCCATCTTACTTCTAGCACAGTAAAAAAGCCCACAAACCAAGCTTGTTTCTGCTGACTTTTTTCAATTTGAAGAGAGTGCAGGTTTCATTTTCATAATAAAGCAAGCAGTGAAAGCTGAACTGCCTTACTGAATTGGATACAGCTCATCTTTACTCCAAATACTTCTTTCAGATGTCATCCTAAGTTGCAAATAATGTTGCTTTTGATTGCATGCAACACTGGATTTAACTATGCAGAACATTTAAAGAGACTGAGGGGATGAGTGTCCCACTCATGAAAAGCTGCTGAGAGAGGAAAGGATGTACAACATCCATTATATAAACACCCACTTTTAAAGTGTCTGTCCTGTGGATGGCAGAAATTTCAATGAGAATAGAACAGATTTACAAATCCACCCTTTACATTAAATAGCAAAAACTCCAAACAATCTCCAGTTCTTGGTACTCTGCTTGGTAGGCATTAGGTAACAATCTCCACTTGTGCAGTTGACATTAATCCTGAGGTTTTAAGAACATTTTCTTAGCTCTTTTACTAGGTCTTGTGTTACTATTCCCCTCTTCAACTTCATCATCTTCATCATCATCCTTGAGTACACGTTGGTCCCTTTTTCTCAAAAATTTCTTCCCTATTGTTCCCACTAATGTTTCATATCTGTAGAGAGAATAAAAAAAAAAGTTACACTTTTTACTAAAATCGGAGGAAAAATCGTGGAGCATATCCTAAACCTAATCAACAATTTAAGTGATGTAAAAAACCTGGTCATTAAAAGCTTGGAGAAGCACAAGTACTACATGACTTACTGCATATTTATTCACTCTGATAGTTTCAATCTGTTAGCAACTGGTAACAAGGAGGAATTAGCATGGAATACCCTGATATCAAAGGGCAGAACACACCCACAAGTTATTTTACCCCCAAATGTGATGGAGATACAAGTGAATATACACCAGCATTCCTGGAAAATCCATTTGGTACAGTTACATATTTATTGTGGGCTTTTAAATTTTGTTTGTTTCCTTTTTGGGTTTTATTTCCCCACACACAATACAGTAACATACCATATTCCTAGCTAGTACTGATTATGTCATAAAATGTAACTTACCTTCTGGCCATTTCTTCATCTGACACATCAGCCTCCATTTTATCATCCTCTTCAATTTCTTCTTCCTTGCACTTTGAGTTCATTTGGATCATTAACTTCTGAAAATGAAGTGAGAAAAAGCTTACACATGTAACCATGACACTACACATTTAACCATGACACAATGGCAACAGTGCTGAAATTCACTGGTAGAAGAGTATAAGAGGTAAGAATCAAATTCAGTAATTATTTTCTGTTCCTGGTTAGGTTAGAGCCCATCCTTATGAAAACTCATGAAGAAAAGGCAACAGAGAGTGTTTTCAGTGTATTGTACTACTCAAACATCCTAAAGGGCACTCCAAACATCTCCAGGAGACCAGAGAGTTAGATCATATTAATTTTTCACACACAGACCTTGAAATGGCTTTGTTAAGAAGAAAGAATATTTTCAAGGATTTACAGTAAAAGCCATGAAGCAATCATATGCTGAGCCACAGGGACAGCAAGTTCAAAGTAACTAAAAGAATCCCCTAGTAAATTACCTTACACAGCCTTCTGCAAATCTCTTAGTCTTTACACCTTCATCCTCCTGCTTCAAGTCAAAAATAACCTTTTTATTATTGTCCCTGTGTACTTCTATCAGCATGAATCATGTCAGAAAGAAAATAAAGACTCTCTTGCCCAGCATTCTTACTCTGGAACTCTAAGCCCTTACTTGTACAAGTCAGTGGTGAATAAATAGGGTTGAATGTTTGTAGATTGGACTCTGCATTCCATGTCAGGGGAAAAGTCTTGGTGAGCAGCATGTGGGACAGTTTCCTCACTTCAGGGAGGGAGAATCTGTAGGAGTTATGCAATTACTGACCAACAACACAGGGAGATAAAAAGATTCTATTTACCAGATGCTGCATTGATCAACATTTAGGGTCGAATGATGGAGTTTCTGGACATGGGAGGATTTATGAAAGGTGTTGCAAAGGCCAATAAGGCTGCAGAGTGAACACTCAAATGCCCAGCCCCAAGGGCTTCAATCCTAATGTGAGACAACCTCAAACCAGGACACTGAAATGGTACCTCAATTTCTGGATTGAATCCTTTGAAGGACATTCTGCCATAAACGAGATCCTCACATCGCAGGAAGCTTCTCTCTTCTATTATATAGCTCCTGCATGAAACCCCAAACCCAGCATTTTGTCAAACCAAGCACTTTAAAATAATCAAATTAAACAAATGCAAAAAGGATGTGCTGTCTTCCCCCCACACAAATAAACAAAGCCACAGTGTATTTTAAACCATCAACTACTTTCTGCTTAATTGATCTGATAAATCTTTCAGTACAAGAATCTTTCAGTACAAGGAGCTTGGATTGCAAAGGAATCCTTTTTGCCAGTAAAGCTGTGCCAGTTCCACAAGCAAAATTAACTCTCCTGACAAAAAGCACTCTTTGCTGGTATGGTTCCACCTACATTAATACTTTTGCCAGAATAAAAATACCACATAAATATCACTCCCCAGGTGGCACTACTATACCAGCAAAAAGCTTCTAATTAATTTTTCATTGTGCTGTTAGACCCGGCATTAGTTGAGTCTGTCCGGGTATAAAACACTGTGCCACTCTCTGTTCAGCAGACAGATTTCCCCCTTCTCCCTCCTTTTTTTCCTCTTTTAATGAGCATGGAGTGAGAAAAGAAACATGACCCTGAGGCATTCATAATACATGTGTCAGATAAAAGTACTTCCGTGGATTGTTCCATCCTTTTCCTCACACATATGTATCTGCTCCCTCATCCTCTTCATCTCCCATGTAAATCAAACTCTCATGATCACAGGACTTAGGCTGAAGAGATTGAGCTCATTGTCGTGCCTCAAGGCAGTACCAGCTACCCTTGAACAGCAGAGCCAGCTAACCTGTCCTCAAAAGACTTCCCATGATGAAGAGTCCAGGGTCTCCTCAGGCAATCTACTCCAGAGCTTCAATAGCCTTATTGTTACAAAAGTTCTCCCCATGTCCAGATTGAAGATTCCTTGCTGCAACTGAAGCTCAAATACCTTTTTGTCATATCCACCAAGAGTAATGAAGAGTTCATCAATGGCCTTATTCAATTACAGTTAATTCCTTGAGTCCCAGCTTTTTCAAAATTATGTATGTCCTCAGCGGAATTCTTTTCTGCTTTTGAAAGGATGAAACTCAAGCAGTTTCAAAAGTAGTTCTCCTGCTATTTAAAGCACCTTTCTAAAGAGCAAGACACCTTTTTCCTTATTAGCTAAACCTTCCTTTATTTTTGCCATTATCTCTTCTGTTTCAAAACCAGGATTTGAAGTGAGCTGGACACAAGAAGATGGAACTGTCCTGAACCGATTTAACCATGTGACTGAAGCTGAATTTACTAACACAAGGTTTCAAACTTCTTTTTTCAAATGAAGGGGAAAAGCAGCAATGAATGAATTGGATCCTACTGAAAGAAGGGAATTACATGCATCTAGAAGAATGTGTGATGTGAAGAAAACAACACACACAAGAATTGAAAGTAGGTCAAACTACATTAGGCAACCTCAAGAAGTGCCCTAAAAATAAGTAATAAAAAAAGTTGTAATGCCAGTCTGTCACTGTTTTTGCTTCTGTTAACTGGTTATTTATAATACTTATTTTACAGGAAAAAATATGAATATGTTATTTCCATTTCAAAACATTCCAATGATGATAAAAAGTACAAAAGATTACAAGCTTACTCTTTTTCCTTTAGATCTGGTACATCAAGATACCAGTGTTCTTCACTAATTATCTTCTTTTCTTCTTCTTCTAGTTGTTTTTTAGTTTGTGAATCCAAACCCCTTTGCATGAACTACAAAGAAAGACATAAACACACAGCTTCAGTTTTCAGCATCATGAGTACATTCTGAATATGCAGTAATTACATGATGGCAATTATCCATTACATAATGTTCAGTAGTTGATACAAAATAAATGTTTTTTTGTGATTTTTTTTCTCTGAGTTTGGTCAAAGTTCGGGCAAACAGACAATGAAAAATTAAAACAGCTATCACAGCTATCTACTGAAAGTCAACAGTCACTCACACCTTAAATATAAAGAAACAGACCTGACCTGGCTAGTTTTGATGGATTGGAGTTGTCACAATTCCCTAATTTTACAAAGGTTTTTCTGATGTTTCAGCAAAGGCCAGAGAGAAGGTAATGGTGTTGAAGTTATTGCTGCACATCAGGAACCAACTCCACCCACACAAACAGCATGGGAGCTCAGAGCTAGAGGTGGGTCATACCAGGCTGGCCATTTTTGAAACACCTTTACTTTCAACCATCCTCTCCATTTCTCAGATTTAACGAAATGGATTGCGTTTGTAGCTCTGAAGGCACAAACCCGCCCTTGGAAGTGGAAAAAAGTAAGACTTTGAAACCAGACTCTGAAGAAAGGTCCTCTGTATCCAGCTGTGCTAAAGGAAGATATTCCCAGCTCTTCAATTCTCACTGACCCACCAAAGAACTGGTCCAGTGGTATTTAAATACCACTACCTTAAATACAGTGGTATTTAAGCACCTGTTAACTCACTGCAGAAACAGTCTGCCAAAATAGCTGAGACCAATAATGAAGTTTAGGGCAAGACTGCTATTTTTTCCTAATACAAGGACAATCCTGTCACTTGCTTCTGCAGTGATAACCTCTGTCAGAGGATGGGAACAGGTATGCAGGAACATAACCTCTCAACAGCTGGGAGTAGAAGAAGACATCTGTCACAGCCTGTAAGAAACTGCTGAGAGCACAGAACTCTACAGACCTGAGGCCTGTGAAACAGCATTTTAATTTCCATTTGTCTCAAGTCCGGTGCCTGAACTGAGTGACAATTAAGTCTAAACAATGTCAATGAAACATGCTGGTAAAAAACAGAACTCTTCAAAATTTTATGGTGATAATCCATATAGTCTCACCCCCCTAAAAGCTGTGACCTCCCTGAGAAGCTACAGAAAGTGTTTGGGTAACTGTACTTGTCAGAGGTCTACATTTATACCAACCTAACTCCCAGACAGAGGCAAATCTAACAGGACAGTTCACACACAATCCTGCAAAAATATCAATAGGTGATATAGGTGTGCAATGCATGTACTATAAGCAACTCACAGAGCTTTTCAGTCTTTACAAAATACCCAACCAAACCAAACTCAGAAGTACAAGCTAGTGTCTCATTTTCCATTTCTATTTCTATTTGCATCCACTATACAAGATGTTTATTGAAAGAAAAATTGACTTCTGTTTTCTGAGTTGATTCAGAATATGTCAAAGCTTTCCAATTAAATTTACAGTATCTTCTTGAGGAAAATAAGTGAATCTATCATGTGGAAAAACATATTGCTCAAGGAAATTGGTTGGCCAGTCAGAAATCTCAACACAAGAAATTCTGCTACAAGAACCCAGTTAAATAATCACTTCACACTCCATTTTAAAGATTATGTTCCTAAAGATTACTACAGGAAAAACCTAGGTAAAAATTAAGTGATCAGATTTCTCTCGAATGTACAGACACTGATGAATTAAAAATACACTGATTGTGGTAGGCACAGAATATATAAGTCAGTAACTGAGGAGTTGTTTGGGTGAGTTTCCCCAAGCTATCAGACCTGATCAAATGGTGCAAGATCTAGAAGTCTGTCTCCATGTGGCCCCGTATCTACTGCAAATTTACTTCCAACACCACCAACCACACGCCACCTCTGGGTGCCACTTCACCCACCTGCTGAATTCTGCTAATACATTGGATCACTACCTGCAGAGGCAGCTGCTAAAGGCTTAATTAAAACCTTTGTAAACAGGAAGATCTGCAAAAACAAAGTGCTAAATTCAAGATCTGTGTATGACCTTTTCAAAACCTACTGATCTCTTCGAAGCTGGTTATTACTGCCTGGACTGTGAACCTGCAAATGTCATGGCAGCATATTCAAACGGCTGGTTCTCCATGGCCTTCCACAGAAAAACAATCTAAAAACCTGCTTTTGAAATCTCCAGGGGGTCGGTAAACTGGCAAACAACAGAAAGAAAAATTTCACTTAAAAAATGTATTATGTAAAAATAAGGAAAAGTAATGATGCTGCCATCCAGGTTATGGGAGTCTGTCTGTGTCAACACATTGCTGCCTGACTCAGTTCAACACCTACTCCCTTTTGAGAGCGAGGAAAGATGTATTTTGTTCCTTCTGTGTACAAGTTTTAGATTTAGCAGCCTCTGTTAATTAGGGTAAATATTCCATCATCCAACTGTAACAGAGTGCACTTTACGTGAAAAATTGAACTGAAGTCAGCGAACTCTTTTCAGCCAGAATGTGAAATATAGGCCCATATAAATATGTGGGGAAATAAATGGCTAAATAAAACACCACAAGCAAGAAGCCACAAAAGCCCCATCATATTCAGTTAAAAAATTGAATATTAAAGTTAAAAAAAACCCCAACCAAACAACAAAACAAACAACCTCAACTTTTCCAGGTTGTTTTCCAGCAATAAAGGACCATCAATCAAAGGAGAACGTACTCTACTGAATTAGGAGTTGTAGTACATGGTGTGAAGCACAATCCATTAGGCACTGAGCAGAGACTAATTTCACACTGCTGACATGAGGCTCACAGTTCCAAGGGTAACAAGCACATCGGGATGTTACTAAGATCCCTGGCATTTATGAGTTGGGAAAGTTGGTTAATGCTGGGTATTAATCCCCATTTAAGCTGGGATTTCCTTAGCCAGTAATGGAAGCAGGGGTAAAAATGGACACACCAAAACCTAAACTTTTTTCCTCAATACTAAATGCCTCACCCCCAAGTAAAGCAAGCAGCATCACATTTTTATTCCAAATGTGCTGTTGAAATGTTTTTATTTAAATTCACAATAAGCAACCCAGCTGCAGAGGAGCGAGGCGGACCGAAAGCGCTTCCAAAAGGTGCGCTGGAGCTGGGATCTTGAAGTCAGACTTTGCTGGAATCACGAAGTTGCTCTCCTGCCCCGAACCCTGCAGTTTGTCACCCCCAGCCCGCTGGCCGCGTTCCAGCAGCAGCGATGGGAGCAGCCCAGCAATCCCGAGAGGGCCGGGAAGGGAGCATGGATGAGCACATCTGTATTCAGAGACGTGGGAGAGCCGCGTGGCCGGCGATGGGCACGGGAACGCCTCACGCCGGAGCTCCGGGACGGCCGCGTGTGGCCGGGGAGCGGCACCCCGGCCGCGGCTCCCAGCGCCCCCAGGCCCCTCTCGCCACGGGTACGGGCACGGCCCGGCCCTGCTGCCCCCGGGCCGCCGCTTCCAGCCCCTTCGCAGGCCTCAGGCACGCCCTCCCCTCCTTCCCCCTCACCTTCATGCGCAGCAGGTTCTTGGACAGCTTGGTTTTCACCTCCCCGGCCATGGCGGCCCGTAGGCCACGGCCGATCCCCGCGCTCGCGTAGCGCCGAGGCCGCGCACGCCGCGGGAGGAGCGGGGCCAGGCGGCGGCGCGGCTCCACCCTCCGGCCGGGGGCGGCCGCGGGCACGGCACCCTGCCCACGCCCCGGGAGCCGGGGCTGTGCTTAGCCATGCAAAAGCAGCGGTAGAATAACAGCTTTACGGCTGTGCGGGGTGAGGGAGATCGGGAGTGTGAGCAGGACGTAAATCCGCTTCGGTGTGAAATGTTAAGTCAGTAGGGGAGCCTGACATGACTTACCCACGCTTGTGTGTTGTGTAGTACTGCGACTTGCAGCTTCATCCACAATTTTCTAATATTTCAAAAAGAGTATAAAATACATCTTACACACTGGCATTTGGAGATTGCTTGACTTTATAAGCTTTTATTTTTTTACAATCAGCACTGACTTTTATTTTTAAAAAAAGTGAAAATCACAAAATGGTCAAATGTGATTAAAACTGGAAAGCACACAAATTCAGAGATATTACAAAAAGCCTCAAAGCTTTGTTAGTCCTGAATCATGATTTGTTAATTCAATGTTGGCAGTGCTGTTGTTGGACTGCTGTGCTGTGCACTGAGAGCTGAGAAGGAAATCCTGATAGGGAATTGCCAGCTGACTCCCAGTCACAAACATGTACCACAATTTCTCTATATATCCTCATAAATCAGATTTCTGATGCCTGTTTTGACATTTGGCACATAAACTGGGTGATAAAGCAATAAGAGTGAAGGTTCAGTGTTCAAAACTTTAATGAACTGGTGTGCTCCAAAAGACAATTTAGGGAGAAAAGTTCCTGTATATGCAAGATGTAGGTCAAAGCTTGAAGAACTCTGTAAAGATTTATGCTCTAATAGACTCCACAGAAAGGTATAATGAAGGACAAAACCTGATTGCAGTGGGAAAGGAGGGAGAATTATCCACATCCAGGCATCCTTATTACACATTTAAGCTCAGTGGACTAAAATGACCACAAATGCCAATGAAACATGGAGCCACAAATGCTTCAAGGCAAAGTCATAACACTGCATGAAAATATTTAATTTTCATATAGGGAAGGCACCTTCATTCCCAGGCTCTGTAAATGAGTTGAAGCTGCTCTGAAGTTCAAGGCCCCAGTGAGAAAGTCACATTGTGAGTGTGGGAGCTATTCTGTTTAGCTCCTTCTCTGTTCCCTTTCTCATTAACAGATATCATCCCTTCCTAACAAAAGAAGGCTGGGAAGAAATTTGCCATTTTCTGAACATGAATGTTCATCAAAGAATTAATATGTTTGAATCTTAGTGAGCAAACCAATAGGGGAAAGCTGTTAATTAGTCTAATGGCATAGTACAGCCAGAATCTCTCAATTTTTGGTGTTGTGTTCTATTTGCCATGCATTTTAATAATGCATTTACTTTTTGTTGATCATTGCAAATCAGAGCCCCGTGTTTAATTGCACGATCTTCAATGTCAAGGCTTTTCTGAGCAGTTTCAGTTCATTTACTGTCTGGGAATGTACTTTGAATGATTTCTTCTAAAACTGTGCTCTCCTCAGCACTTCTGCAGCCACTGAGCTGTGGTAGTACCTGGCTTTGCTTGGTGGCCTTTGAAGAGCTGTTTCTGTCCCTCCATCCTGCAGACCATCCCACCTCAAAAATTCCTCAGCAGACTGTACTTACAGCCTGTTTGGGATTTGGGCACAGCACATAACAGCTCCTCTCTACCTTTGTTGAGAAGGAGCATCCTGCCCCCAATTCTTTGGGAGCTGCATTGTAATAATTTACATCACCATGCAGTGTCTATAACTGGGATGGGGAGAGTACAAGGGGTTTTCACCTTATCTAACCATGAAGATTATTCCTGGTGCTCCCTGGTCCCCACTGTACCCCGTGTCTTGGTGCTGCACCCCAGGCTTGCACGGAGTTGCTGCCACTGTCTGTTGGCAGCTAAAAACCCAGTTGGCTAAAAACCTGCCTCGATACAGGCAGGGAGAAGCATTTTGCAGTAAAAGCAATGTAGGTTCTGTGATGTTTATTTAGAAAAGTGGAGACAGTAAAAAGGCTGCCAAAGAATGTGATCTATTTTGGCAGTAAAAAAGTCCAAGGGAAATTTTTGGGTTGCATCTCCCATCACTTGAATTGGATGGGGAGGTTATAGATAACAATCAGCTGCCTTGTGGAGCAGATTATACTGTCTGGTAAATGTGAAGACACTCCATTGATTGCAGGAGAAATTTTTATGATTTACTGGTGGTGGTGGTGGAGGCAACTCAGAGAAGAATCCAGCCCTGTAAATACACCTGTTTGTGAAGTGGAGTGAGGGTAAGGAGAGTTAGGAGAGAAAAAGAATCTCTCTACTTTTAGAGAAAAATCGAGGGTCATTGTAAATGACAATTAGACGCCTCTCCCGCAGCTCTGAGTGCTGCACAGCAGCTCCATTTTCAACCTGGAAATCCATTTCTTTTTCAAAACAAAAACACTCAGGGAAATAACTTGGGGGAAAGGAGCTCCATCTCATCAAAGATCATACATTAAACAAGCAGATAAAAGATTTTTCTTCTAGGAAATGTGGTCCCTTCTCCCTCTAGTAATTACAGAAGTCAAATCAAAGTTGTCATTAACATTATTTAAGGAGTAATCTCTCTTGGAGCAACACATGTGGCAGCTGTGAAGTAATTTCACGCCAATGGGATCTAATTGGTGGGAACTCGTGTCTTTCTTTTCCCATAACCTTTTATTTATTCATATTCTCGTAGTAGTGTGATTTTAGTGCAAAACTGGTATCTCAAACCTTACAGCAACCTATCGGTTGTTTTGATTTCTTATGAGCTGTCTCTGAATTCTGAAACAGCTTTTTACAGCTCTCAGAATACCTGAAACCTTTCGCCCCCCTTGCAAATATCAAAATTCTTATAGTATGACAGGCAAGTCATTAATTTGTGTCAAACTCCTCCACTGTATTTCAAGTAAGGACATGATGTGTTTTTCTCTATGAATGAGGGCAAGAAAATGAGAAGTGGAGCTGCCGGAGGTCTGTTTGCAAACCTGAAAGGAAGGTGTGAAGTGCTGCGTGCGGCTGGGTGTGATCAGCGAAGCAGTTTTTGTGCCCTGTGCTCCCCACGGAGAGAGCGAGAAATCCTCGGCGTGGCAGAGGCGCCGTTCTCAAGCAGAGGACAGGTTTTTCATCTCTGCTGCTCCCAGCCCGCTCCGAGCCGCTCACACACTCGGGGTATTGACAGCTGCGGAGGTGCTGGGTACCGGGGGATTTGTTACAATAGTCATCACCTTTGATGCGCTCATGTACAGCGCGCTGCTCATCCCGCTTTGAGCTTCGTCCACAGAGGACACAGGCTGGCCCCAGCTCTCCTTCACACTGCACTCACTCACCCTCTTCGCTTCTGAGCTCCCTTTTTCTGGCATTGACACCGGTTAAGGTGGCAGCTGACACACAGAGCCGTGTTTTAAATCCCTGCCCCGCGTTCCTCAACTGACTGCGGCTTTTCCTGTGCATGAGGGTGATACGGAAAGAATACAGAAGCCAGACTCCTGTAATTTGGGTGACACGGATCTGTGAGCGCAGTTCACGTTGCTGACTCTTTCTTTTTAATAGCCTTTGCTAGTTCGCAATTTATGCAGCATGGATAGGTGTGTTTTAAAAATGTGCTTGTGGCAAAACAGTTACAAAATCTCCAGAACAACCAAGATGTGTCTTTGGAGAAAATGCCTGGTGTCAGTCTGGGAGAGGACAATTCATTCTGAGTTGGCTGGACTGAATGACATTCATTCATTTTGGCTGATCCAGTGGAAGGGTGACCTCTCTATGAATAAATAATTTCTCTTTGATTACAGAAAGAACCAACCTCATAATGGTAGCTCCCTATATTCTGCCATCAGCTGAAGTGGTGGAGAGAACACATGCCAGTCTGTCATTCTGCTGGCATGTGCAGAAGCCTAAATATTTGAAATTATTGGATATATCCCCATGTTAGGAATCAGAGCAAAAAGAATGACTGCAGAATGGTGTTGAAGGTCCTTCTCTTTGCTTTCCCTTAAAGATCAGGAGGCTTTTAACTTTTTGGATTTGGAGGAATCACAATTAAAAGAGAAAAGGAAAATATCACCCTCTGTTTGTTAACTATAAAAATGCAATCCAGCAGTGCTGCTGGTGCTTTGCTGTTTCCCAGGTCAATAAATGGCTCCCCTGACTTTAATAAACATTGATGCTGCAGGCTTGTTCTACAGTGATTGAACATTTTTATAGTTTCAACCACTCGCATTGCATGAAAGCTTTAAGATTTTCTTTTTTTTTTTCACCCCTCTTTTTCAGAAGGGTTGGTTCTGATTGATTAAATTGTCATTTTCAGAGTTAGTTGCTGAATTATAACTTGGCATTTTTAACCATGCGATTTGTTTAAAGAGACAGCGTTTTGATATAGCAAAGCAGTTGAGAATTTTTAAGCAGTAAAAGGAAATTTTGTTCACTTTGTTCTCAGCCTTTCATCACTGCCTGACAAAAATGCTCCTGAAAACAACATGAAGGCTATGATTTGAAGAGAAGGTGCTTAGATCCATGCTCACTTCTTTATTCCATCACGGAGCTGATCTGTGCAGAACTATATTGCTTTCGATTAGTAGTCGGATACCTCATTGTTGTTCACACGTTTATCTTTCTGAGGAGGAAGGAGGGGAGGGAGGGGGAATTATAAACATAAAATGAGTGCCACCCAATGTGATATTAAGAGTAAGTGACAGCACTATACTTTGGACCAGCCCCTTAATACACATGATGGATTTCTTTGCACCAAAATGATGGGTTCTTAGTCAAAAGCCTGCAGGGGTTTCACCTAAATCCAGACTGAGCCTGGTTCAAAGGGACAAAGACCTCGTAATTCTTTAGAAACTGAAAAAATCATGATGCATTCTTTTTTTTATTTAACCAGCTGCCACCTTCCTTCTCTGTAGATAACTGCTGGGTTTCAAGGTCTGCTCTTTTTTACTTTCCTTCACTCCCCCAGCTTAAATCTGCATTCAATACAGTAAAGCTGAAGTAAATGA